TGATATATTTTTACACTGTCTTGGGAATAAAGATACCTGTCTTAAAACGCCTGCAATACGTTTACTTGAATCGTACTGTTTCTCCATTATCCTGAGCCTGTATTTCATTTTCCAACGAATTTGAAAGTTTCTTTGACTCATTGCTAATTTGATGAAGTACCCCTTATTCGGGTGCGTCGTCATGACAACCTGACAGAAAATACTTTGTCATCCAGAGACTTCAGATTGTAGAGATGCTCGCATCTTGATCTTTTGTATTTTAAACCTTCTTTTAGCGTCTCTTGTTTAAATTTCTGACAAATCTTGCTCGTCTTTCATTTGTACGATGTTTTACCTTACCTGTGAATTTAGGATCAATTGAAATTTGACACTACAATCACTAAAGCTACAATAACCATTGGCACGAAAAGTGCATTTGGTGTGTTGTTGAAAGGAATTTGGAACATAATGACGTCTAAATTGAAAGGAATAATATGGATGTAATTTCTTCAATCCTTTAACAAATATATAAACCAGTAAATAAAGTTGCCAAATGCTCAGTCTATCGTCCAAAATTCTATTGACTAAAATTGCAATGAGTCAAATTCTATTGACTTAAATTCTATTACAAAATTCTTATAATTCAAATTCTAATAAACACTACCTGGAGTGCTCATGGCACTGCAGCAATTATAAATGCCAGGCAGCACAAACTCAAATCTATACAAGTGTATACAATTTCTTCATCTTCGACCCTTTCAATTTTGCCCTTAAGTTTGTGGTAGTGTCTTTAAATCAGATCAGTTGACAATTTAGAGTCGGTAACGATAGTTATAGACTCTACAATGTCATCAATGTCTCTCAGATTGCTGGACTGTAGGAGTAACCCTATCCAGTACATAGCATGGCGAAAGTTGGACTGGTAGTATTTTCTACACATTGTCGCGGCGTTCTTCATAAAGTGGCTGGCACAGCGATGAATGATTGTTTTTTGGAATTCTCCTCTTTTGGCTTCTCCAGTTATAAATCTGTAACATCCATTGAAATAATCAGAAACCGGTTTTATGGCAAAGGCCTGAAGAGAGGCAAGCAAAAGCGCGGGGCTGCCATCCATTATTAACATTAAAGGTGGTTTGGCAACGTTATGTCCATAAATCATCTGCTCGGAGTGCAAGCAGAATTGGATGAAAAACGTGATTAGAACAGAATTATGCTCCGTTGTCAGCAGGAAGCAAGCATGAAAGGGGGAGAACCTCTTATTTGATGCTGAATAACAAATCTTATAATTGGTACTTTTTTAATCCAGAAAAGGTTGAATTGTTGCGAATGATCGACCCAGTTGCATCTGCAAAATGATGCCCTTGAAGAAATAGGATGATATTTTTTTACACTGTCTTGGGAATAAAGATACCTGTCTTAAAATGCCTGCAATACGTTTACTTGAATCGTACTGTTTCTCCATCATCCTTAGCTTGTATTTCATTTTCCAACAAATTGGAAAATTTCTTTGCCTCATTGCTAATTTGATGAGGTACCCCTTGTTTGGTGCATTGTCATGACAACCTGACAGAAAATACTTCGTAATCCAGAGACTTCAGATTGTCGAGATGCTCGCATCTTGATCTTTTGTATTTTAAACCTTCTTTTAGCGCCTCTTGTTTTAAATTTCTGACATCTTGCTCGTCTTTCATTTTTACGATGTTTTACCTTACCTGTGAATTTAGGATTAACTGAAATTTTACACTACAATCATTAAAGCTACAATAACTATTGGCACGAAAAGCACATTTGGTGCGTTGTTGGAAGGAATTTGGAACATAATGACGTCTAAATTGAAAGGAACAATATGGATGTAATTTCTTCAATCCTTTAATGAATATATAAACCAGTTAATAAAGTCGCCAAACGACTCAGTCTATCGTCTAAAATTCTATTGACTAAAATTCCAATGAGTCAAATTCTATTGACTTAAATTCTATGACTAAATTCTAATAATTCAAATTCTAATAAACACTACCTGGGGTGCTCGTGGCACTACAGCAATTATAAATGCCAGGCAGCACAAACTCAAATCTATACAAGTGTATACAAGTATATTCAAGTGTATACAAGTGTATACAATTTCGTCATCTTCGACCCTTTCAATTTTGCCTGCTTGTCCTGCTTGTTTGCATGAATGCCTGCAATACGTTTACTTGAATCGTACTGTTTCTCCATTATCCTGAGCCTGTATTTCATTTTCCAGCAAATTTGAAAGTTTGTTTGCCTCACTGCTGATTTGATGAAGTACCCCTTATTCGGTGCATCATCACGACAACCTGACAGAAAATACTTTGTCATCCAGAGACTTCAGATTGTTGAGATGCTCGCGTCTTTGATCTTTTGTATTTTAAACCTTCTTTTAGTGCCTCTTGTTTTAAATTTCTGACAAATCTTGCTCGCCTTTCATTTTTATGATGTTTTACCTTACCTATAAATTTATGATTAACTGAAATTTGACGCAACAATCATTAAAGCTACAATAACTATTGGCATGAAAAGCACCTTTGGTGCGTTGTCGAAAAGAATTAGAAACATAATGACGTCCAAATTGAAACAAACAATATGGATGTAATTTCTTCAATCCTTTAACGAATATATGAACCCAAGATTTTGGAAATGTGTTCTTTGATTGCTGTGATTTCAACTTTTTCCACTCGGACCTATCAATGTGGAGTGATGCTTTCTTTGGCGGTGGTAATTTTGCAGTCCAAAATTTACCACCCTCATCTATAGGCCAACATTTCTCATTTTCCACACACATATTTTTTTCCCAGTCCCAGGTATCGATATATTGGTCTGGTGAATTGATATTCAGGTGGCGTTGTTCTCTCCTTAGGCCTTCGTCCCTCACTGCTTTGGCGAGCCTTCCCTTCAGCATCTTATCCCGTACAGTGTTGAAGGAGTTGTCCATGAATTTATACAATTCCAAAAGTAAAGTAAACACAATTAGGGGATCTTTGCCCTGGCCTTGGCAGTGAAGATTTTTTGTTGCTCTTACCTTCAGTAGAACACGGAAAATCTCTTCCAGGTCAACCTTAGCAGCATTTGGTCTACCGTGGATTTCTTTTCTTGCCCTGTTGGCGAGATGATCAATGGTGCTGCCCTCTCCTCTGATCTGTCTAGCGGTTGCCGTTTAATAACTGGCCTTTCACATCGCTGACCCATTCTTGGACGGATGGGTCATCAGGTTTATCTGGCTTTCCCCTGAAGCTCTTAAGCTGCCTCCCTACCATGATGTTCCATTGTGATAGCAAGAAGCTTGTTTCAGGATTCCTTGTGTTGTCTCAGCTACACCTCATTCTCAACTTGGGACAGTTGCAGTATTAGTACACCATCCTGTCTACGATGCCAAATGTGGCACCTGAATAATGTGAAACAACAAGGATGATGTACATTTTAATAATCTGTCTTGTTTTAATGGTGGAACTGCATCTTAAGCCTTCAGCCTAGTCAATCAGGAGCTGGAATGAGGTGGTCTTAACTTGGAAACTGCCGAAACTGAGTAAAGTTATTGCGTAGAGTGTTGACTCTACCAATACCGACGTGAATGGCTCTTGGTGTGCACTCAATAAGATTATAAACCAATGCATGATTGTCAAGCGAGGGCCCTGTGCAAGGACTACTTGTATAAAATGGCCCGTCACACTATCATGCAATAATATTTCTGGTAATGGTGCCTCTGGTTACAGGTGGGTACTTGCTGTGTGCAACAGAAGTGAACTGGTAAAAAGTGGGCCAAAAGGATCAGTCTATTTTGACATGAGAAGGTTGCTGTAAACAATCAGATCAGTGAAGATAGCTTTTTGTATATCATGCTTACCAGATAGCCTTGACTGCAACATGTGGACAGTATTAGGTAGAAATGATGTGATGGGGTGGATGTCTTGTATCACTTGGACTTTTGAGACTCATCTCCCCATATTCTGCTCACAAACTGCAGATTTTAAAGCAGCAGTATCAGAGAAAAAAAATCAGTTCCATCAAATTCAAATTCCGGTTAGCATGTATGGAACATGTACGTAAACTATTTCAAGAATTGAAAGACAAATTTGATGAGCACTAGATCAGCAAGTTAGGCTCCACAAAGTCACTAAATTTCCTTACGGTTGTAATTTCTTATACCATTCTAACTCTGAGGTTTCCTGGCCTAACGGCAGACCACTGTACTTAAAAAGTAATGTAGACTATATGTGGAAAGTAGGGTCCCAACATCATAGTGTCTATGACAATATACACGTAGCTGTGGTATGCTATACAAAATAATATTCTCTCCAAAATATATTTTAATACCCATAAAAGAAGCCATTTCAGCAGGGGCAAGGAAAAATATACATCATTGTAGTGCTCACCTGTAAAATTTGGAGAACTCAACGTTAAAACCAAAGTATGGGTTCCTTAATACTATATGAAACCCATAGCTAGTATGGAACCCAAAGCACAGCATGGGCTGTCGGCATTTAAGGAACCCATACTTTTAAATGTGTGCTCTGACTCTGTATTTTTCATGAAGTCAGTATTGGTTTTGGTCTGCCATGATTTGGCTAACTAAAGTACATTGTTGTGCAGTTCTAACGTTTGTATTTTCTGATGTTGTGTGGATTTCAGAATGTATTTTATTTTTTTGTTGTACTTTTTACAATGACGCAGAGTATGCAAGAATATTACTTTATTATTCAAAAGAAATGTATTTATTTAGGGACAAACGTAGTCGTACATGTAAGCAAATACTGTCAACAATTTTTGACAGAGTAAAACTTAATTGTTTTTAAATTAATGAACTGGAAGTCTCATTTTAAAGGCAAGCGAAGAGGAAAACACATTAAAAATGTTGATTAGATGTTTAAAAGCTTTTAAATATATGAAGTTTTAAATGTGTGAATAAACATTCATAGAAGTGTTTCAAATGTTTGCCACTTAAATAAATAATTCACATAATTAGAACATTTAAAGTTTGATTACTCTATTAGCATCATGCACTACTTTTATGCAATGTTTATTATCAAAACATTCCCTTCCAATAGTCTTTATATAATTCCTATAGGTTGGTATTATTAACATTTATCAAATATACACATTATTTTTTGATACTTTCAGTGAAATCAAAATAAAATAGCATGAAAGGGGTGAACTTGGCGGTTGAAAATGTCTGTTTTAAAGATAAGAATCTTATGACGAGGAAACCTGTATAATGCTTTATCCATGGTTATTCAGCCTATAATTGTATATAAGAAACTAGATCAAATTGAACTTTTGTGATGCATTTGCAATATTTTTTTTTAAGATATAAAAAGCAAGAACTGTCAATGAATTGACAGAATATATCAAAACAGACTAGTTGTCATTGTAAAGCCTTGTTTAATATGTACATTTTTGTAAATTGTTTTCTATAATAAATAAGCACACATTCAGAGAGAATTGTTTAATTTTCAAATCTTTGTTTCATGTCTATAAGTCAGTCATAATGAGTGTTTAAGAGTCCAATAGGCCTTTAACATAATGACATCACTTTTTGTGTACATGTGCGCCTTCTTATTGCTACTTTCAGCATGCAAACCTTCAAATCTTCTTTGTAAAATGAGCAATGGAAACAACAAAACAATTTAAAGGTATAGAACAAAGACCACTTTTCGACAGAATCACTTCGTTAGAAATATCTCAACAAGGTGATCAAAAAATAATCTCAACCATTAGGTAATTTAGCATGTGTATTGATGTCAGGATTAAACACCACTGGAATTTGCATAAAATAGATGCAGACGTCAAATGTCCCATGCAAATAATACATTTGTAACTCATGTTTATGAATAATTAATAATACTTGACCTATTGAACTGAACATACCATTCTCAAATTGCGGGTTCAGTTCAATAACTTGCATGGGAAATTTGAACACAAAAATGCATATGCTTGACTCATTTCTTTCTCTTAATGAGCCAAGTCACAAAGCCTGGCCTGGCTAGGGTTGCACCCCAAGTACATCAACGCCTGTCAGTGTGGACGCAACGGACTGTAATGTGAACGCTACTACAGACATGTGCTTGCGCACCAGATCCCACTGCTTAGCACTGTCCTCCGCGTTCTCAATGTCAAACATCAGATCCACAATCCCTGGAAAGGCATCTCCGTAGTAACTGTTCTTGCTGCTAGGCGCAAAGGCAACATGTCTGGAAAAAAAGATAAAAAAGAAAAAAAGAAGATATTTTTGAGAGAGGCTGTTTTGATTTGAAATTGTCAAAATGGGAAGTTCTTTATTTTAAGTTCCATGTAGAGCATATACTGCAAGTAAAACAAAGAGGGAATTGTCTTGCTCAACTGAAGTCACTTTTCGTATTGGTAATCTTCACTGCAATATATTTTCCTCATAAAAGAGCAGAAGTACTGGCACTGAGGTACAACTCTTCAGATGTTGCAGTTTGTTTCTTAAACACAGTCCAATTGGGCACTCATGTTTTGCTGATGGCAAAGTATAATAATTCTTATTCACACCCAACTTGTTTTTGAGTCACCAAACATCCAGTCTGAGTCACCTCTCCTAAGTCCGAGTCCCGAGTCATGCAGGTCGAGTCCAAGTCCGAGTCACGAGTCATACAAGTCTGATTCACACACATCAAGCTTTTAGTATAGTGGAGTACCCTAACATGACATACTTTGACTTTTTCCAAAACTCCCCCACCACCAAAAAACAAAACAAACAAAAAAACCCAAACTTTTCACCCATTCACTTTTAACTTAATGCATTGGTAACACTGCGTGAGGACGCAGTGTTACCAATGCATTAAGTTAAAAGTTAGTGATAACTACAACTGTAATAAAACTTGTACTGAAACCTTAGTTATTTATATATCAAGTTAGTCTCAAAGGACCACAATGTAAAAAAATTGGTGTTAATGCATGCAAATTAACAGAAGGAACCCAAATCATACTGTGTCAAAATATTATTTTTAGCAGAAAGAGCATTTGCAGGAACCAATAGGGTAGTTTCTCTCCCTCCCCTCCCCCATTTTTCCCTAGATCTAGTCTCGTAATAATTGTGCTTATTGTGATGATGTGTAAATTGAGTCCCTTTAAACTACATACCTCTGTAGTGATCTGCCTGGCAGGCCAAGTGGATCCAAGAAAGCTCTCTCCATCATCATTAACTGGTCGTTGACCTTGCGAACATCAAATGGACTAAAAGAAGTCAACAAATACATGTAATCAAGTCTGTGTTAGAAAATTGTTAACTCTTTTACACGTTAATGAACTGTTATATTGAGCACAGCACAATATGGCATATTACAAGGCACAATCAACATGTTTGCAAATAGACATACATGTATATTCCTTGCTCAAATGTGGTCAACGTTGTACATCTGCTGATTGAATTGATAACAATCATGGGGATATAAAAACACACGTTATCCATTGGACAGAATTTTTTAACTGCTAATAAATAGTACCAAGTGCACTGATTTCAGTTCAGATAAAAGTATCGTCTTCACTCTAGCTGTTAACTGTAAACAATGACTTGACCCATTACTCCTTATACCGCCCCAGCACTCTATGGTTTATGGATTTATCAAGAAGTAAATACAGTGTAGTACAATGTAATACAAGTACTTTTGGGTTAACATATTTTTTTTTAAATGGCAAGGAGTCCAGTTATTCATAAGAGGGAATTTTTTTTGTCGGGTGATGTAAATTAAATTAGGTTTTGCCCTTCACTGACATATAAACACTGTATACTCAAGTGTGTTACCTCCCGAGTGAAAGTTGGAAAAAATCACTCGGGTGGGACTCGAACCCACGACCTCCAGCTTTCTAGTGCAGATGTTTCACCACTGGACCACCAAGCTAACGGGATCGGTTGGCTGGTTCGAATCTGATGTACATCACCCGACGCAAAAATTCCATCTTATGTATAGTTAATGCGGTACCCGCTGCTATGTACATCAGATTTGAACCAGCCAACCAATCCCAATAGCTCGGTGGTCGAGTGGTAAGACATCTGCACTAGAAAGCAGGAAGTCGTGGGTTCGAGTCCCACCCGAGTGATTTTCTCCAATTCACTCGGGAGGTAACACACTTTATCTTCAAGTAAACTTGAATCCTCGATCCTGATAGGTCGATCCATGGCAACAAGCCGTGCTACATATAACCATTTAGCACGGCCACGGTCCATACCACACTCTTGCGCTATTCCAAGATGCGCGCGCCATTCCGTACAAACACGCACGTGTAATAGGATCTCTGAAGTTTGTGTACAGCGTCCGTTCCATCTTTATTGTGCGTCAAGTTTGCTTGAAGATAAATTCGTTATCACGCTCGCGCCCGTGGAACACGGAAAATGTAGTGCGTCTGTGTCCCACATACCACGAGGCTGAAATATGTGGGACACAGACGCACTACATTATTCCGTGTTCCACGAGCGCTCGCAGGATAACTTATAGATTATACAGTGTTTATACGTCGGTGAAGGGCAAAACCTAATTTGAGTCCAGTTATTCTTACTCTTTCATGTCCATCTTGCTGATGTAATCATGCAGCCAGTCTGCAGCTTGGATTAGTTTGGCCAGCGCTGCATCAATTGCATCTGGGTAAAATAACACAAGTACGCAAATTCAACCGTTACTCCCTTGGGTGTGTGAACAATCCCATGAACATTGGAGGATTCAGGACTATCAACTGTTGATGTGATTATGCATCAAATGTTCAAAAAAGTTATATAAACTCAATTGTTATACCATGGTATTAGACTATGAACTTGTGTTGGTTAAGAACTGTTACGTGTCACACTTCATGTTTGACAACCCAATGGACTCAGCATTTATATTGCGCAAATTCCATACAAATACGATCAAATGTGCATCACAATTATTACCCCTGTTCATCAGGAATGAGACCATTTTTCTGCAGCAGCTCGAGACCAGTGCAATCTGGTCTCTACCTTCACATATACCCATTTTTACTCCTGGGTGGAGAGAGGCAATCGTAGTAAAGTGCCTTGCTCAAGAGCACAAGCACCATGTTCCCTGTCAGAGTTGGAACCCATGTACCACGGCACACGAGTCAAACACCATAACCACTTGACCACAGCGCCCACTCATGACATTTTAATATTTGTACTTCTTAAAGACTTGAAAAAAATTATTTAAAAAATGAAACCATGGTATAACAAAACAACTGTTTTCTGCTGTGATATAGTCCATGGGTTTTGTACACCCTCTGGGGCAAACAGCACCCTTCAACATTTGTCATTTGCAAAACGGCATGGACTACATCACAGCTGACAACAAGTGTATAATGCAAGTGAACAAGTGAATTGCGTAAGTAAATGACTGACTGATCCCATTAATTTACCAATACGCCGATTATTGATGAAACACTACCATCTTGTGATGGACTTGTGACTGGCTTTTGAACGGTTCCCAGACTCATCCTAACCAAGTCAACTCACCAAATGTGATCCCTTGCGGGCTCATCTGGTCGGTGTACTTGGTCTTGAGTGAGGCAATAGACTCTTCCAGGTGGCTGACGTATGTCTGGCAATCAAACGGTAAGATGAGTGAGTCGGCCAGCGACCTAGCCAGCTCCCCCCACAGCCTGCCTGTGGCCAGGTGATAGTTGAAGGTGGGATCCATGACCTCCGACACCAGGTGAAATGTCTCGTACATAGAGTGGTAAAGCGGATAGCTGGAAATCTTGTAGTCCTGGCGATGGGAAAGTTAGACAGATGCCATGCTCAGTATAAATGGGGACAATTTAGGTGCCCATCAAGACGGATGATGCTGATTTGGTTTTTAAAAACTGGAAATACCAGTACCTCCTTCTGATTGGTAGTTTACAAAGCACCACTAACCAAGATATGGGCTCTGTGCACAAATACCCCTTCAATGGCCAGAAAAGGAGAGTAAGGGGTGACCTAGACTAGTTCCTGATCCATCCACTGCGTATTTCAAATGTATCCAAAGTTATTGGAGGAAGGGATTAGTCGCGGAGACCATCGCAAGTTGAATGTGAACGTATTCGCGCGCCGACGATGCCTGATGCTCACGCGAAGACGCAGTGGCTATAGCTTTCGCACATTCAGGAAGTCGTGCGTACTTTGCACGCGAAGTACGCGCACGCTGTGTGTCCTGTCCACGGAGCTCTCAAAAGAGGTAAAAAGGCGCCCTCTTTTGTTGGCGTACGGAGCCCATTGGCTCTAGCACACTGCAGATGAGTCAGATGTGTACCCTAATCAAAGAACTTGACAAGCCATGGCTGTTGTGCTACGGTTTCTGTGGGTTTCAAACAGCCAGCCTAGTGTCCTCTTTGTGCATATCAGACTGACTGTCACTTGAGAACCAGGCAGTGCTATTGTATAGGATTACCCTATAATGCCAATGAATGATGGACTCAATCCTGCTCGCTGTGAAGATATATGCATTAAAAAACATCCAATGATGCAATTCTGAATATTTACACTCACATGATTGTAGTCATAGCGCAGATCTACTGACGATATGCCTAGCTCACCAAGGAATGATGCATAGTCACTGCCGGAACCTATATTGAGTACACTGGGTGCACAATCAAGAATTTACAAATAAACTATTAAGTTGGAGGTAAAACTATAGTATCTCTCACATTCATGAATCCTTAGGGTGTAGTTATGATTGGTCTATTATCTCACAATTTGAAACCTGCAAAAAAAACCTTCAATCAAAGACATACAGCCTGGCGAATCACAAAATTTAAAACTGATTTGTTATCGATGACATAAATTTAAAAAACATGCTGATAAAACCAAATAATATAATATATATTGTTTTTACACAAGAAGTACTACCCAAAAAAATTATATTTCACTTGGCTCCTCTGACACTGACCAAAATCTAAATGTTTAAACTAACTACCAATGCTTGAATGCTTGAATACGTCTTATTTGGAAAAGGGGGAAAAGTTGCTTACTGTGGGAGTTGCTTGCTATCTGACCATGGGTTTCTATCCAGCCACGTATCGTAGACTGTAGCAAGATGGCCTGGATCCTGGACATCAGGTACCTGCTTAGCTGCCTGGTATAATGCATTGAAGAGGTTGGGTGTGGCTTTAGCTCGGAAGGTATAGTTGCCCTGGATTGCGATGTCGACATTAAGGTACGCCACAGCCCTGCCTCCCAACGTCTTCGCAAACTCCTGCAAATATGGGAGGCAAGAATTCTTCCCTCAGCACTTACAACACTACTTGTTACAATTGCATTGGTTGAGGACTGTTGAATTGACATACTTTAGAAGTTCATGTATGATAACCAGATGGACTCCGCAGAGTATTGCCCTAGGTATATCACATTGAATGCTCTCACAGACTTTTGAATAAGTTTGTTCCCACTGCTTTGCAAAGGCAGAATAGGCCCTGGGCACAAATAGGTAATGTACCCTGGTACTGTTCTACTTAACCCCCGAGGACCGACACAAAAAGGGAGAACAACAGATCCTTTCAGTCCTCGGGAGTTGGGTCTTTTGTTTTGTTGGAAACGGTCCTCTGTAGTAAGTTGTGTGCTTAGTCTATGGGAGAGTGTTATATTACAGGGATAAGGGAAACAAAAAGCATTGTCCTAGAGAATATAGTCAAACAAGAGTGTGTATTCCTGTATTGTATTACGCTGGAGGACAGACAACAAAAGGAGCACAAAGGGGCCTTTCATCCTCGAACAATGGTGCCTATTGTCCTTGAATGCAGGTTTGTGTGCTTAGTCTATGGGAAAGGTTTAGATCAGGGAACAAAGGAAAACACAAAGCCAATCCTTGGAAGCATAGCAAAAAACGACTGCGTGGGCATGCATGTGTAAACGTGAACATATACGCATGTAGTGTGATTCTGCATCAACATACAGTATTTTCCAATCAGGTTTCAAAATAGTGTGTTAAATTGAACTTGCAAGTTGTGCCGGCTATATTTAAAGAAAAAGGTTGGGTTTTTTTTTACATTTTCTTTGAAAAGTATTTTATTTACTGAGCTAGAACTTCAAATTTATGTTTTTTTACTTTAGGTGCCAATAATATATTCCTGCATATGATCTTATGGGCCTTACAGAAAAAGCCACAACAACATAGTTGTTGTGATACATGTCCAGTACATATTTCAATATACCTACAAGCAGGTATGAATGCCCATTTAGTGAAAATCTAGGGTCTATTTTTTCTTCCTAGATGCAACATCTGACTCCTCACCTCCACCCATTCAGTGGAGCCAATTAGGCTGTACTCCTCAGCAGCCCAGCTGCAAAACACGATCGATCGACGAGGTCGAAATTTCCCTGATAAAAAAAGCCAAACAAATATAAATATTGAGTCTTGAAAAGGCTTAACAATTTTGCATTTTATAACGCTTGGCCATTCGGTCTTAGGACTCGATCATCGATGTACTCGGCACTAAAAGTAAAACATTTGATGGTTTAAAATAAGCTGGTTTGTCCCAAGAATTTCATTTTTCAACAATTGAATTGTCAAAGAAAGTGGGGGTCAGTCACGAGTCTTGTTCCCTACCTTCTTTGTGCAGTTTTCCCATAGCTCTGGCTACCTCCATCATGACAGCCGTACCGCTGGAGGGATCTAAAGCACCAAAGACCCATGCATCTCTGTGGTTACCTACGATTACATAGCGATCTGTCAAAACAAAACAAATAACAAGAAAGTGGTTGAACAAACTAAATAAAACATCTGCCAACGAGGCTACCACAATACAAAAATAGTATAAGGGCATTTTTTTCCAGGTAATAAAAAAAGAGAAGTGTTCTTCAATTGCTTGAGAGCTATTTCAGAATGAAATATATAATTTGATTGAACTCTCAAAAATCAAAAAGCAAGGGGCAAATATTGCCTTCAAAAAGTGGAGAAGGCACACTGCTCGAAGAGAGAAAGAGAAAGAGAGAAAAATGTCTATATGAATTAATATTCACTGAAGGAAAACAAGTTATGAAAGAACGCTATGAGAAGAAAAGTTCAATAATAAAGATAAACCCGTGTTTTTGGGTAAACCTCATCTGAAACTGTCAAACTGAAAACTGATGGGTTGTTTTCTCTAATTAACTGCACAGCGCTGTTCACAATGCTTATCAGGCCATTGACTCTATGCACAAACAGTAGGTGGCAACTCGTTATTACTTGCAATAGCCCAAGTTAGAGGAACATTTCGAACTACATGTAGTTCACGCACGTATGCCACAAAGTACCAATGACCAATTTCAATTTGAATGTGCACAAATGCACAGCATAAGGGGGGAGGGGGGCTAAACGTCCTTACTCACAGCTGAAAAGCTGAATTGCGAAGGACGCAGCTACAATGTGGTCGAGCCGCTGGCATGTAAAGGTGCCTGAGGCTGCCGCCATATGACCCAATTTATGACCACGGAGCACAGCCAGAGATAAGTGTTGATTTTTGCAAAGGGAGGAAAACTGGAGAGTCCGGAGAAAAACCCTCGCGGCACAGGAGAAAGTCAACGAACAACTCTCACATATGTTCCAAACCAGAATCGAACCCGGGCCACAGTGGTGAGAGGCAAGCACTTCACGCACTAGCAACCCAAGCCACTTGAGCGTCAGGCTTCGTCAGCAATGCATTCAAGAGTCTCCCCTAGTGCTCCCCACCAACTCCCCATTGTAACCATTGAGGGGGTACTTGTGCACAGAGTCTATATACATACCTGGTTCAATGCTTCCCCGTACCATACCAATGACGTTATATACTGTCCGTCTTTCATTGCGATTATACACCTCCAGCTTCACTTTTCTGAAAGAGAATTAGGAAAGGAAGGAGTCAGGTTTGTGCAGCAGTACTTTCCTTGCCTTCCGCTTCTGTGACTTAAGTTTTAATCCTTCCCATGTCTAAATGTAAAATTTCAGTCCCTGCCTGATTCTGTGGGTTTTCCCTGAAATACTTTTTTGGGGGTTTTCTTCCACCTCTCAAATGAACCTTTTTTTTTTCACTGTCTTCTCTCTCTGGATTTCTTCATGCTTTCGAGCTACATTGACTCTGCACATTTGAAGAATCTTTGGTTTTATCACTTTTTTAATGGTACTTAAACCATTTTTATGGAATGGTTAAATATTTATTTTAATTTAAAAAAAATAAAATAAAATGAAAAAAATAAAAATATCAGCTCACATTTTATGGCGAGTTATAAAAAAACAAACCCTGATTTTAAAGGAGCCAAGTCAAGTCATAGATGTCTTGATTTGTCTTTCTTTGATATGCATAAATATGTTGTAAGTTGTATTATTCCTTTTCTTTTCACAAACTCAGGAAACGAAATAATTCTACCAAAGAGATAATGCCTCGTATCTTGTGGCTCACGTTTTTTGGTGGCAATTCCATAATTTGCCAAACGCGGGATGGTAAAAAGGACAGCTGTGGGGTAGCACAGAGAAGGTCTGCAGGGTCACCATCAATCAATAAGTCTCTCTCAAATGACGTCATTTCCAACAGACCATCCACGTGCATCGACATTTTGAGCATCAAACTTGCATAATGTGCATTGGTCGCGTCGTATTTCGAACACATTTCGAGCAACAAGCGCTCATGTTTTGAACATTTCCAACACTGCGCAATGCGTGCTTGATTGCGTAAAATACGCGGTTGCAGTTCTCCTACAGAGATGGCCGTCATTGAGCAAGCCCTTTATCCAATTCCACTTTGATAAGTGGTGTATCTGGCTGGGGCAGGAGTGTAACATTTTCCCCTTAAAAATTTGTTTGCTTCTTTTTCTCTCTTTTTAAGGAAACAAAAGCACCTCACACCTGCTGCTAGTAGTAATAGCCTCCCCTGCTTTAACCATTTTTATGAATGAAAATAAAGGAGAGGGGGCAACTTTTCCTGAAAAATTACCTGCCCTAGCTGGACCCAAACCCTGGAGGTGCCACTGAATTTGACAGATTACTGCAGTAATGCTCCAACATTTCTAGATGTTGGTGTTACAGAATATTCTAGTGATCACAATGACAAGCCAATACTGAGAAGTACCACGCTTGGAAACAGACAAGGACTCCTGCAACCAACAGGGTACTCTGAGTATCACCTGTTGTCCAATGGAGCCTTCTCCATACCAATGTCTGATATATGTGAGCAATGCAAATTTTATGCGACCCCGCGCCAGCCAATATGAGTCGACTTAAGGAAATTGTGGCATCATTTTGATCAGAAATGTGGACCAAGCTGTTGATTGGTTGATTTGGCTGCCATGTTTTTGTAAGATAACAATGGGTTAGCGAAGACCCAATAGAAGGCCCTGCTGAATGGTCAGAACTTGAGGTCAAGACGCAGTCTTGTTTGGCATAATTAATCGCCGAATCTGCTCGCATATCATAGACCCTTGCTGTGCAAGGGGATATTCCAACACGGTGGGTGCCACCTCAACTTTTAATTATGCTTGATGGATAATTCTTTCCGCAAGATGATCTGGACTTACTTGGCATCTTTGAGTGTTGGACCCAGGCGGTACGTCAATCCTTGCAGTGCACCCCTCCAATCCTCTGGTGCTTCAGCACCCTCAAGCTCACTGCATCAACAATTAAAAAAAATATACTTGTATCTTCCGCCTTTGAGAAAGAGCCTGTTAAGATTGAAAATTATAGGCCCGCTAACTTTTATGATTGAGTATTTCAGGTCAGTCCATATGTGGAAGGCAGTTTGCAAAAAGTTGCAAACTTTTCATTTAGTTGAGATCCGTATTGTTCCAAAACAAGTATCTTTTCCAAACAACCTAACTTTCCCAAATATCCATTCATAAATTTAGCTTACACAAGTCAAGGAAAGAGGCGTGCAACAGGGAAGTCACAAAAGCTTGCAAGCGTTGACACGACGCACGCGCGGTTGCCATTATTCGTCGGTTCAGTGTGTGACATCGCGTAGCTGCAATTGGCTGAATGAGAATGTGGCCCGGATGCTGATTTTTGGTACAATTCAAAACATCACTCGGCAACTTTTGAAATGAAATCGAGATCCTAGATTATTGTTATCTCGGAATATACAGCATTCATAGAGCTAAAACTTCATCAGGTTAGTTGTTAAGCACCTGTCTCTAGATTTTGAGCACTTTTGTTGCTTCAAATGAAAAAAATGAACAAATGACAAATGATCTACCCTACCTTTAAAAGTGTTGACATGTACTGTTTAATGTGGGCAAAATAACATGCAAAAGATGCTCCAATGTTTGGGTTGCCTGTCAGTTGCCTTTTCAGCATGGTGTCACAGGTAACATGATCTATATATTTGGGCTAAATGTTGAACAAAAAGTTTGCTAATGAAAACAAACTGCATAAACTTTGCTCATGGAATTTAATACTGTCTTGTTCTGAAACGATGAATCACCAACTTTTTGCACTAAAGCAGCTGTAACACTGAAGTTTCTGTTTGAGTGACATCACAGTTTTGCTCATGAATATGGAAATTTGCGTTTGCATAAAAAGGTATTATAACCAAAAAGACACTGAAACACCCTAGAAAATGGACAATGAAGATTGAAAATGAACTTCAATGGAACACAAAAGGTACATTTGCAAAGATATTGCATTGAAACAAAACAAAATTATTTCATGTACCCCTTTCAAAATCTAGAGACAAGAGATGAAGATTGATCGGACTCACTCAAGGAGTTTCTTGGCATCGTCATAACCGATTGGCTGAACAGGAATGCTGGGCATATCAATCGACGATTCATCCTCACGGAATGCACTGTCTTCAAGGGTATAATTGTAAAAAAGTATGAATAACAGAGGGCAAATAGCTTCTATTTTTCATCAGGGTACCAAGTGGGGCTGTCCATATTCGAATAATTTAGTATTCGATTACTCGAAACTACATTTGACCGAATATTCGGATATTTGAAAATTCAAAACTGCCAGCTGAAACTACGTGCTGCACTGGTAAAAAGTTGCACAAACAGCGCGCCAGTTATAATTTGTGTGCGACAATCGATATGGGTGCTTAAGTGTTTTCAGTAACTGTAAAGGGCTTTAACCTGCTAAAAGGACGTGAACAATGATCCGTCGTCGACGAAAAAGGTATTGCCTACAAAAAAGTGGCACCTGACAATAAAGCCCTGCAACTTTACGATAAAATAACATCACAGCCGTGTTTATGTGCATGTGTTTTTTTCCCCGAATATTCAAACAGCCATTTGAATATCAGGTTGATGATAAAATATTCAAGCATTCGGTATAATCGAGACAGCCCTAGTACCCAGCCAAAAAAGTTTCAAAAGGTAGGTACCTGAAAGAAAGAAAGAAATAAACTAAGATTTTTTTCCCTCAATGACTTGATATAAATGCCTCTGAAAGGATAACAGCAGGAAAACGTGCATCCAACTAAACCTCTTGAAATCGAGCCGACAGAGTGCTAGTCTTGATTCAAGTCAAAAGTGTTTCTTTTCAAAAACCTCGCTATAAGCCGTGTGCTTTCTTTATCATTGCCGAAAATACTGTAGGCTAGAGTAAAAGAAATCCACGTAGCGACCACATCACACGTGGACATGTGGGTTTCCAACATTTTTTCTGTCAGTGTAAGATGATGTATGTATTTCTTGTGACCCAAACATTTGAAGTATGGTTTAAATAGTCAACATTCTAAAGCTCATTTTGGCGGTGTCTTTACAAAATGACTTTAGTGATGAAAGAAGTTATTACTAATGCAAAAGTTGAGTTGGAAAGAAAACACCCCTTCTCACCTAGTGATGGGTACCCAGGTGTCAGGGGGTCACCCCCGACGCCTTGTTGAATATACAGAGACCCCCGCTGGACCCCTGAGCCCGGTAACCACCACGAATCTGGGTAGACACTAGAGATGCCATCAACAGCATAGTCCGCAGGATCAGAGTAGAGTATCAAGCCTATGGCACCAAATGCTTCGGCTTGCTTAGCCTGAAAAAAACAAAAACAAGAACATAAAGATGTGCAGAGTAGATAAAAATGAATAATGAAGGACTTAGTTTAAACCAGACTAAGCAAGCCTATTCAATTGATTCAGCGTGGCTAAAAAGTTTGTAGAATAAGCTGTAGGGGAAACGTGATAGAATGAAACATCCATTTTGGCCGTTCACATGGAGAGTTGACTAATTGCCTACACATGTATCATTAAACCCCCTGCTGTCTGAACAGTCCCTGAAAGTCAAACAAATTAATCCTCTTCCCCTGCCATGCCTTTTACACAAGCTAGTCACCAACAGTCAGATCATATTTCAAGCAAGCACTGAGACTTGTCAAATTCAGTCAACAGACAAAATCAGTAGACAAAATGGTAGGCACAGCTGGTTACCTGCAGTCAAAGCATAGCTGTATCAAGTGAAATGAACAGTAACAGTCAGTCAATCCTGCTTAATAGGCTGGGAGCTCTTAACTGTTAAAAACAGTCACTTGATTGATTTTGACTGAAAGGACAACTTTGCACAGAATGTATGTTTGCATAGGAGGGTTAAAGTACAAGAAACAAGTGGTGCCAGTCTTATTCACACGTGACAGTTAGTCAATGAGATAAGTAGCCAGTCTAATTCATACGTGACAGTCAGTCAACGAGTCAGTCTGTCAGTCATGACACAGAGGACTGGATCCGCCCTAGACTGCAACTCACCTTGTCCCCTCGGAAGATCTTCCCATACCGGGCCACTGCAATCTTCCCAGTCACATTCATGTTGAGGCTGCCCTCCAATAACTGAAAATCTTCCACTCGCCCGTAATTAACGTACACAAGATCTCCCTATTAAAATATCAAAAGCGTCAGATTTCTACATGAAACTTTCATGCCTCTACGGCTGTGGCAACAACAACAAAAACAAAATTCAAAATCCATTCAGAAATATATACATCAAACATTTAAATAGAACCAACGTGATCAGGTTTATTTGAAAAAGAATCCACAATGCCGGTAAACCAACTTTCCAATTTTCAAAGCAATCAAAGCACCTTAATTATTTGCAGCACACATAGTTTTGGGATATGCATCACTGACTTGCAACAATCTGTGTCCAATATGTACATTGTGTATAATTTCTTGCTTTTGATGTTTTAAGAACCAAGATCCCTGCTCAGTGCTTCTCCTATCACACGCTTAGTGACCACTTTCGAAAGCCCCCGAAAGAGGGGCATATATGGCACAAAGTACGCAATATAGGTGTTCCCGGCTATTTCAAAACGTTTTTCATTCCAATTCACCAAATCTAATATTTAAATTCGTTCAAGAAGAATGTCGCTTCCTTTTTGTAAAACCAATTTAGTCATTATCATTCAATTTCAAAGTTTGGTCAACGTCTTTGAGTACTTTGGTCAAAACTAGTTGTCAATACAGATTGAGTTCGTCTCAGCTATTGCTGAACGACAGTATTTAGAGATCAAATTCGTTTTATGTCAATCCATTAAAAACTTGTTTTCAGTAAATTAGATTGGTGTGTGCTGAAGAATTTCCCTTGTGTCCTTGAGCACAATATGGCACATTTGTTCGCACGATGTTCTCAGACCGAGTAGGTGTGCTTAACTCAGCAAGCAGTACAAAAAGACAAGTGTAAACATCAACAAGAACAACAAAACTTTTAAACTTTTGAAACAAATTAAACAAGTATTCGAGTGCAAGACGAAAACGTCAAAAACTACGATGACCCTTATAGTTCCCCATGTAACATTTGTGTAAGCCCAAAACTGAGTCTAATGTATTTTAAGAAGATAAAATCAAAAGAAACAAACATAGATTCATGAAGAAAAAAAGGGGGGAAAAAAGTGGGAAATTGTTGTATCAGCAGCCTGTATGCCTTTTACTGAAGATGTCACACTGAAGTATGACGAAATTGAAAAAAAAAATTAGGACTAAATTGTGTGACATAAAACGAATTTGTTTTCTGAATAACACTTGTTTGGCGTAGACGAGACGAAATTGAATACTCTTGGATGAACATGTGTTCATAATTTGTATCCTTGTGGAGTCATTTCTTTGTTCTTGCGTACTAAAGTTTTCGAGTTTGAAAGTGTACATTCAAATTGCTGCTATTTTAACCAGAATTAATTTCCTGGGCTGAAATTTCGACTTAATATCCCTTAGGCCAAAAAAACAAAGTCTCCGGTTTCAGGTATGGAGCTTGCCCAAAAAGTGGTGCGGCGACACAGCTTTTTTTTTTTTTTTTTACCTGTTTTTTTTGCTTCAAATGTCGGCTGATGACTGCAAATGGTGCCCAACTAAACTTAGTGCAAATATTATGGGAGACCAGAGAGGCCACATAAAGCTTATTCTCGATCATAACCCCATCTAAAAACACGTTAAAATTGTGCAGCAGCAGAATTCCAGTCAAACCAGTGAGTTTGGCGGTTTTGAGACATCATCTTTCATTGAGAAAAAACCTTTTTCATTTTGCCGACGCGCATGGCTACGGCGACACGCGCGCATACCAGAAACCGGAGACTTTTTTTTTTGGCCTTACATAAAATACTTCAATTTGCGACACCTTGGAAACTCCTAGTTTTTGAGTAAAATCCATATATCTATTTCGTGATTATACCTTGTGGAGACGTATTCACATATACATGTAGAAATTGCTCTGTGGAGACGTATGCAATCTTTTGTTCCCTATTGTGCACATGTCTCCACAGGGTACCGTGTACCAGATCATATGAATTTGCTTGAACTAAACTTGAATAACTTAACTTGAAATTTGTATGAAAACGGATGAAATTGAACATTTAACAAATTTGAATACTAGGAAAGGAAAACGTTTGAAAATAGCCGGGAAAATCTATACCAAGTTTGTTCTGAATGTACACCCACCTGTAGCATCCCGCACAGTGGTCAAACCCCCCCCCCCCCCCCCCCCCCGATCTCCCTTTGTAATCATTGAGGGAGCACTTGTGCACTGAGTCAATAACACTTGAGCGCATTCCTCGCATTATTCCAAAGGGTTCAGAAGCATTGTTTCTTCATTTTTTGTTCGTACCTGTACTGTACCATTGGCAGCATAAGCATTGAAAGGTCGCACGGTGTCATTGCTGAGGGTCCCAACATCTAATGGAGGCTCTTCAGCTTGTGATTGAAAGAACTGGGTGTTGTCACTGTTAAGCACTGATACCTGGCAACAATTAAAAAGCCGACCATAAACATTTTGGGATAATCTACTTTGAATTTTTCTCAGGAACATATTTTGTACAGGAATCTACTCCTCTTAAATGCGTGAAAACTATTTGACATCTCTTTTGGGTTAATTTTATTGAAAATTTCACTTTTTTAGGCATTTAACAATTTTCCATGCTTTTCTGGACAATTGAGGGTGCTGTTGGTGTGATGTCATTTCAGGAAGACACTGTTCAGTTTTTGTTTTCTATTAAAATTGTGAACCCAAAAATTTGCTCATTGAAAACATTTGTCAGAAAAGTTTGCTTATTCGCTTACTACCATGTAATGACACAACAAATCAGCAAAAAAAAAAAATCTGCAACAGCAAAGTATCCAAAATTCTGGCAACTTTTGGTGCAGAAATAGCTGTAACATTGAGGTTTCTGCCGGAAATGATATCACAATTTTGCTCATGAATATGCAAATTTGCATTAGCATTCAAAACCAAACAGGCACCAAAATACCCTTGATTCCATTGAAAACAGCAATATGAAAATTGAAAATAGGGTTAAATAAGACACTAAAGTGCACTTTCAAGGATTGCATCTTTAAAACAAATGTATTTCATGGGCCCTTTGAGAGCATACAATTTATGCATGACTACGAATTAGATAATTTAAGAACCAATCGACATGCCCAACCTACGAATCCAATGAACTCTCACGGAGCCATTGATATTAACTGTAACTCATTCAATCATTTGCCACCAAATAAACCAGCCAGCCAGCCAGCAAACCAAACGTCAGCTTGCACCAGCAAAATCCACCAGGCAACTAGCCAAACAGCCAGCTAAACAGCCAATTGGCGAACTGTAAACTGGCCATCCAGCCAGTCAGTGAGCAAGCTGGTGAAAATAGCCAGCAGGCAAATCAACCGCCAGCCTGTTAGCCAACCAACCACATATGTCTTCTCTTCTACTTGTATACAAAGCAAAAACAACTACACGCAAATCATATAACAGCTGATCTCTCAACATATCCTCCTGCTAGCAAGCCGCCAGCCACAATAAACTCAGTCAACAGGGTATTAAGGGGTAGCCAAGCAGCCAGCCTGCCAATATTCAAATATCTTTCCTTAAAGTCAGGCGATCCCTTTAAAAGTGCTAGAGACCTCAAAAGTTGAAAACCACTTCCACATATGACCCTCCATCACTTATCACCAATGCTAAGTGATAGCGCAGCTGAGAGGTACAACCACCCGCAACCTCAAATACATCTAGATGCCAACTTCCCCCCCCCCCCCCTCCAATAGCTCAGGGTCTCACAGTTTTACATTAAACGAATATTGTAGAAAACGGTAACATGCACAAAACTTTCAAGTAAAAAAGCTTACATAGTTGGGATCTTCTTTACTGGGGTAGGACAGTAGAACATTGTAGGCATTTTGTCGGACCGGTTCCAGACCATACTTGATCCATTCGTCTCTGACGTAGTCTGCATTGGATTTGTCCGCTGGTGTTCCTGCTAGGTGGGGGGTGGATGTTAGCTTTCTGTGAATTAAGAAGACGAGAAGTACAAATCACGTATAAAGAGCAATGCTCCTTTCAGTGTGCAAGCAGATGCACAGGAAACCACTCTGAATGTTACACTAATCAGAAGAATTTTTGAGATCTGAAGGGTTTTTTGGCAAAACTCTACAAAATTAAAAATTAAACAAATGAATATTTATTACAACTGAATAAGAATATTGTTAGGACTATTTACATGGACTCAGGATCAGGAATGAGAATGTCTTTTGTTTCAAGCACTTGCACTGCCCAAATTATTTTTTGTTCTCTTTGTCTAAACGTCATCAGTTGTTGTGTTTATGCCTCAATTCATAATCCAAACATATCTTTTTTAGATATTGTTTAATTCTGTCAACTCAGAAGAAAGAAATATATTTTTTTGATCATTTGGTTTTTCTCATTCTTCAAAAAATTCAAATTTCTGTTTCAGATTATCTTGTACATGTAGGCCTAAACACTATTCTTTTATTTTTTGTAAATGCGTTCCTGATAAATATGCCCCTTTTATGATGACCTCAATAAAAAAAGTCCTAGTTCTATGGGAATACATTTATGCCAATGGATTGCAATTTAAATTTAATCTTGCAGCTGCTCTGTCCCTGAGGAATTAAAAGCTTCTGTGTGCATTATAATCACCCACAAGGTACAAGTACAGTCTGTACATTGCCCCATCAGGTGACTCTTGATAAGCAAATGACCAGCAAATACCCATAAACATGAAGTCCAGGTAGATATGCTACTACATATGAATGTTTGCATTTGTCAACAATTTATTGCAAGTCTTAAAATTTACAACCAATACTTGCAGCTGACAAGATCATATACATATATTTGCTCTTAGAAATAAACTACTTTGCACAGAGCAACCTCAGTCATAAAGAAATGCGAGTTGCATCTTTTTTGTGTGAAATTAGTTCTGGGGAAAAAGCCATGGTTTCTTTAATTGATAGTTCTGCCACCCCAACCACCAATAAATCTCCTCAAGATACAAAAAAAAAGGTCCACATATGTTTCTTTCATTCTACTTGTCTTGTTCAGTATAGTGGGGCAGATAGGGAAAATATTCGGGGAAATTGTGCCTTTGATGATACAAGCCAGGCACTTGGCACACAGTCAGAGTATGGCTTAGGAATGATATTTGGCTATAGGGCCATCACAGATTTGTCCTTTGAAAAAATATAGGTAAAATAACAAGCAATTTTCAAAAATTTCAAAATGGCTGCCATTGCTTGTTAGGTATAGCCAAATATCTTTCTCGTGACATACTCTGACCGTGCGCCAAATGCCATGCTTGTATCATCAAAAGCACAATCCCATCACCTATCTGCCATACTAGTATGATTTATGTTGTTTGGCTCATTTTATGACAGTCAATATGTTAAATTGTCAACATGAAAATGAAATTGAACTTTAAAAAAAAAATAACACCCGCCTTGTTATAGGCTGAACTTTGATGATTAAATTTATAAAGGTGTTTATAAAATGTTGCTGCTAGGTATTGATGCCACTTTTCAAACAAAAAGAACCTGGCTTGACGTGGAAAATAATGGCAATTTCTATTTCCTTCATCTTTGACAGTCTAAACCAACCGAGAGTTTTTAAAATATACATTCAGCACACTTTTTAGTGAGTGAAACTTGGATTTCTCTAATAGTGCTTTTTTAAATACATGTAGCTTAACACAACCTGAAGAATCCTTCTTTCAAAACATTCTTACCTATGAAAGATAGAGACTAATTCTGTAACAAAGCTCTTTTGTCTATGAAAATCTACTCAACATTTGAGTAACCTTTGGGTCCTGTGTTGGTGGGTATTTGTTTTGTTCACTCAACTTTTGGCTAAGTGTTTCAATGTATCAACAAAAACAATTCTAAATCCGTTTACAAATTTTCCAAAATCGTTTAAACAAAACCGGAATTATAGAAATTGGGCCTACGTTCACCATTCTCGCACTCTTCGTTTGAGTTAAACCTACATTACACAAATAATCAAAGATGTTTTCAAACTTATTTAATTTACAAAACCTTTGAAGCGCTTCAATAATTGATTACATTCAGGGCACATGTACATGTAGTTAAGTTGTTATTTTTTCAATGAGTGCCATTGTTGATTTATCATGTCAATCACACCGGTCTGCAGACATAATGAGCATGCATCAGCCTTTGTGAATGGCTGAACGTTTGAACGTTTAAATGGTTCTTAAAATATTTGCTAAACGTTTACAAAATTAAATGCTAAGTCACATCCTTACTTAGGGCCTGTAGATATTTGGTAGCACTCACTCAAGTGGCAAGACCATTATGCAGTAATTTAAGAGGGGTGCGTAGACTAAACAAGTTGTTCTACATTTTTGGTTGACGAAGAGCGACATTTTAAAAATAGGCAGTTATGACAAGACAAATTACCCCAGTATAACTTGATGAAACAAATGCTCCACAAATGTGGACCTTTTCTAACTTTTTTTTTTTTGGGGGGGGGAGGTGTATACAACTGGTGCTCCACAATAGTCTATAATCCATACCCTCTTACCTTAGGTATTCCTTCATGTTTCCAGCTTGCATCTCATTCATCAGCAACGTTCCAGCATCACTGTCTTCTTCTTTCAAGGCATCACTCCATCCCGTCTCGCAGCTCCCAACTTTGGGGAGCTGAGCCTGTGATGAGAACCAGCCTATAATCACCCCGATCCCGATCCCGACACATGCCGCTACCAAAGCGGCGATCACAACGATCGTTCTGTTACTCAGGTGCATTGTGGGGGATGATTTTCCCGTCCTGTAGCTTCTGACCGTCACTCCTGCATCGGGGTCGCGGATCTCCAAATCAGACCTGAGTGGACTAGTCAGGTGGATCTCCGCAGTGGGCTGGTCGTCTTCCTCCTCTCCAGGCATAGCAGCCTCTGAATCCGAGTCCAGATACTCATAGCGATTGTCATAGCGAATAGGATTCATTATCAGGCTGGGCTGATCAACATGCTGGGCTGTGATTGGACGAGGCCTCAACAGTAGTGGGACAAACTCCAATTACAGCTGACCTGCATGTAGTAATAACACAGATTCAAGGTCAGTAAAATCAAATTTAGCTGTCGGGTATCGAGGCTGATAATCAGGCTGTGCAAATACTTAAGGCTAGGAACAGGATTAACCTCTGGAGTTGGTTCTGTTTAACAGGTGTGTGATGAAAACCTGCTGTACACTTTGCAGACTCAAGCATACTAATAATTGAAAATACAGGCAAATATGCAGGTGAGATCAAATTCAAGATCAAAGTGAATGGTCCTTGAGCATTTTAACTGATAATTTTAACTGATAATTTTAATTAAAAACCTGAGGAAAATACAAAGAAAATTGTGTTGGAAATGAAAAAACAATAAGTTTCTGATGTAATTAAGCAAATAATGAGTGGGGCAAATCAGACAGATGGCAGTGAAATCAAGTCACACTTAAAACCAGACCTAGATAAATTAACACCCATTAAAATACAGGAAAAAGTTGTAACTCAACATACAAACAATTGGGAAGGCTTGTTTTGACCAGCCAGTAGGCAATTAACGAAGAGTTCTTAAGGATGGGCTGTGGGTTTTTTACACAGTCATGATATGAATGTGAACTGAATTGAATCATCTTTAGTTAATGCCTCACCAGAGAGATTGAATGAAAGATGCAACAATATAAAGCCTTCATCTTTATCATCCTCCTCAATCATCTTTTTTCCCCTTTAAATAAGTAAAAAGTAAAGCAACGATTTATGGCCTTAAATTTTATATGGAGAAGGTAAATAACATTTAAATAAGCAAGAGAAAATACCTCAAATTGGCAAAAAATAAAAGTTGTCTTTTTGGCAGAATTCCCTCAACTGACAAATTTAAAGAACTATAGGGTAGACAACTGTACATGTTTAAAATTTACCAACACACAAGAAATTTTAAGAAGCAAAATATAGGTTTCAAACCATTGTTCTTATATGTATAAAACCATAACTAACTTGCATCACTGTGTTTCTGTTGTACCAAAACTTACAGAATCTTCCAAACAACTTTAAATGCACCTAAAAAAAACCGAGAGTATTCACACAAGCTCGAATTATCACAGCCTCATATTCATTGAAGTCAGAACTTTTACCACCAAAAAAGTGTAAAAGCCTTTGTGATACAACAACAAACCAATTGCTGAAAAGTGAACAAATGATGTCCAGAAACTGTCTACAACAAAACGTGTCCATCGGCAAAAAAAAGGGAAAATGGAATGTGGATCTAAAAGCGGCTTTCTCAAATATTATAGAATCACTGGAAAAGTAATTGAGCTGCAACTAGAGGTTGTTGACTTAACAGAGTCACAGAATGTTGTCATGACTGGCCTTGTCTCCTCACCCCCCCCCCCCCCCCCATCTTGTTGATAATATTGTCCGTGTGAGGAGTAGGGTGGTTTGATGGCACACAAAGTGACCTGAACAATGTACCATCAGCACCAAATTCCTGGTTTTTAAAGGTATAGGATCATTTGCTTTTTGGTGCATTTTTTCGTTGCAGCAACAAAGTTGCTCAAAACAACAAACCTGTTGAACTTTCAGCTCAATGGGTACTCTACATTTTGACAAGCAGAGAAAACGTGTGCACAGTTTTGTTGGTCTTGTAAATGGATTATATTGCTAACGCATAGAAAATGTGCTTGCATGCACCTTTTTTGAAACCACCTTCAATTTTAGTTTTCTTCCAAACGTTACCATTTTAGGTTGAATAATTTCACAGGGTCTTTGATACCAGTCCTGTCATCTTAAATCATTAACTTTTCAGTTAATTGCAAATGTTCATACGTGGCTTAGTTTAATACTGGCTTGGAAAAGGTTACATGTAGATGTTCAGAAAGATGGAGTGCTTGAAGAAGAAACCTTCTTCAGTGCGACGGTCCATGGCTAGCAATGAAACCTGTCAGTGCAAGTGTTATTCTTGCCAGAAAAGATTCATGTATCTACCAAGCAATTTCAAATGTTGTCTTTCTTGTTCAATCAAATACATGCTAGTATATCTCAAAAGTCCAAGACAGCAGAGGAAACTTAATGGCAAACACACAAACATTATTTATTGTGGGATGTAAAAGAACCCTCCAAGCAAACCTTGTCACAGAACACACACCCTAAAAATGGTAGCTGGGGAAATAACATGTGTGAGCCACAGACGGTTCATTTCACCTCAATCATCACTTTCAGAATTGCCCAAAGCTCCTGGGCTTGTGACTGATCCATGGCCTATGGGGCCTCTTGCTATCACAGGCACAACAGCTGAGCTTCATGTACTTGTATGCCAGTTTACAACCATGGAAGAAGGTTCCGTCTGGCAAAAAAATACACATGTAGGTCCTCAGTACAACATTGGTCATTATTTGAAATAGAATTTTTAAAAAAAAGTTCATACAAGTGAGCAAAACTTTGTATTGCTTTCAAACTGAACATTCTCTTTATGGGTACATTTATGCCCTGTACATGGATTTTTCTGTTTGGAGAACACTTGTTTTAGAATGTATAAATCTGCATCTGGAAGTGTAAGTAGTAGAAAAAAAAGGATAGTTGCCACAGGAGAAATTAGGAGGAAGTTATTTATGTACAATATTCAGTAACATCTTTAGCAGTAATTCATCCGAATTAACACAATGTGAATGAGTACAAACTAGTACAATCCAAGAGAATATGATTAACAACGAAAAGCACCAAAGTTCATTCCTAGTAAGAATAAGAATGCTTCCCACACGTATAATTAATACGTCATTATTCATTAAAAAGAATTAAAGGGAATGTACATCATTGGCTTTTGCTGTAATTTTCAGAAATGAACCATTTGAGGGGTTAGTATAATAGATCAAATATTGTTTAACTGACATGTTTGAAGTTTTGTGTTCGAAAATGCTTGAAAAATCAAGAAAAACAAAAATGTTTAAGTAGTCTGGTTCCCTGACTCCAATAAAGATAAAATGGATCAATTTATAGATGTCGGAAAATTGTAAGGTAAGGGAACCCGTCTAGCTGGCCTGCACCCGTTCATAAACATGTAACCAATAGCAAACAACATTTGGACTGAAAAAAAATTTGTAAATTAGGAGCAGTAGTTGAAAAATAGTTAGGTTTTTCCAACGCTGGTCGGCCGACCACCGTTGGAAATGTTTACAAAAATACCATTTTCAAAATGACTTGACACCAGGTGCCATAATTTTACAGGATGCTTAAGACTGTCATTTACCAACATCCTAGTAAGGTATTTCGTAAAAACTTGGTAGTTTTATTCTTCGATGTTTGCAAATGTTGCATTTTCCCTTTAATTACAGTATTCAATACATAAAAAATAAGAAATGTAAAAGTATAGGTCTATTTAATTAGGGTTAAATTAACTATTTAAACAAAAAAGTATCTTTCAAAGACTTGGAAATGAGGATTGCCATGTCAGGTGGACAAAATATTTGGCAGTGTTCTGTGAGATAGTATCCCTACAGATCATGGCTTTTTGTCACACTACAACACTGACTTATCACCACCTTCTGTTCAGGCTGTTTAACCTTGCATGATGATGCCCCTCTTCATTGCATCTGATGAAGTAGTTGTGCAGTAGCTGCAAAAGCTTAATGCAAACTTTTATTCTTGTTGGTGATTTTAAGTGCTACCTTGCTTTTTCAGTGTTTCTGCCTGACTAACACATAAGGTTTCTCACCACTTTTATCCCAGCGGTAGGCCTATACAATGCGAATTATACATTTTCCAAACCAGGGCTTCGTCTTTGGCTAACCTCCCCAGCTCCATCAAAATCCATTCCCCATTTTGGTGGATTTTGCAGGGACTTCGTCCTGCAGGTCTGGTTTCAATCAATATTGATGGAGTATGATGGACTTGGGCCTGGAGGCCTAAAGCAAAGCATGCTTTGGAAGCAGTGTGATTGATGGATTTTTACGGACTTGGTCCAGTACTTAGTAAAAGACAGTAGGGAGTTGGGGTTTATATTATTAGGCCCAGGGAATGCTGGCTTAAAATAGGTCCAAGTTCTGCTTCAGAAACATAATGATGTGAAATCAAGATTTGTACACAGGACATGGCGATTATCTAGGATCTGGACCATTTATATTTTGACTGATAATTGCAGAGCCAATGTTTTACCATGCATGTGCAGACGGTATTACTTCAGCCAATAACTCAATTCCATACAAGTTTTCATTGATTTATTTTGTGTCAATTGTCATACAAGAAATGTATGTGATATTAAAGGGAAAGTACAACATTTGCAAACATCGAAAAATAAAACGACCAAGTTTTTACGAAATACCTTACAGGATGTTGGTAAATGACAGTCTAAAGCATCCTGTAAAATTATGGCACCTGGTGTGAAGTAATTTTCAAGAAAATTGTATTTTTGTATACATTTCCAACAGTGGTCGGCTGTCTGCAAAACGAATGATTACATACCATGGTTTAAATAAACTAGTATTTAAACTTGGAATTTTTTCATATTTCAAATCCCTCTGTAATGCTTTTCTTGGACGAAACGATTAACAATTTCATAAGATAAGATTTGAAGGTTTGTATGGTGAAGACAGCAATATGATAAAGATTTCCCGTGGAATGATGTGAAAAAAATCTCTTTTATGAGTTTGTAATGTTCTGAAAAGAACCGAGGGAAACTCAATTTTCCGACAGTATACTCTGCGTGTTGTCAGGAGACTGAGGGATTCCAACAGTGAAGAGGTGTTATGTAGTGTGACTGGAAGCAGTGAAGCGCATGAAGGATGCAACAGTGGAGTCCTAGCAGGAGCAGGGGGGGGGGGGGGGTTTGCATGATCAGCGAGGCTGTGTGGTGATGATGGGGCACAAGATGTCGCTGATGGAGAAACAAATGTCTTGGGGCACCGTGTAGTTTTTTTGGATTTTGATGGCCTCTCTAATGCGGCGGGGAACCATGCAGTGCTCAATGCCGGTG